GTCCAAAAGCATTTCTGCCAGAAGCTGCTGGGTTCCAAGATTGGTTTGTGTGCCTCTGAGATCATGGCCATTCAGGAGCTGGAGAAGCCGTTCGTGGGTGGCAACTCGGGGTCTCATAGTGGTGGGGAGAAGGGCCGGTTCTAGCCCTCATTCAGTGAGGCCCCCACATGTCTCTTCACAGCAGGCTCATACCTCTCAGTCCAATAGGCTCTGAAAGATGGTGGTCACCATGACGCAGAGGAGAAGAAGACGTAAGGGACAATACCCTTCCCCCCGCCCCCAAGGGAGGCCTTGGATCAGCTTAATTCACAGTCCAGAAGCATGAGCCACTGTGAGATACAGTTTAAAAACTTTCATGTTTGATATTCAGCTATACAATGATTGATCACCCATCCCTCCACCAGTGCAAACTCTCCACCACCAATATCCCCGTTATCCCCTGCATTTCTGTCTCAGTCCTTACCCTGCCTCTACAGCAGATAATTGCTCAAATACTCTCTCTGTAGTTATGGGCATTATATTTTGGTTATTATAAGAATAATTATTCTTATTATACACCCACCAACTTCCGTGTAACCCCATCAACAGCCAAGATCCAGAAACTATAAAACCAAACTCCTGGAGGAGAATAGTGCGGGGTCTCCTGCCCCCTCCTGGCTACCCTCACCGGGTCCCCTTGAAGGTGGGCAGATTGAGTTTTCATCTCCGCCCTGAGCAGAGTGCCAGAGCTGAAGACTTTCGGGAACCAGCCATAGCCATGCTGAGACCACTCTGCACATACTAGGATGAATCTCATGCATGAAGGAACAGGCAGAGGAACCCAGGTGTGTGGGACCCAGGGCTGAGATCACCAAGCCTGCTCAGATCGGGACTGGGCCTTCTCCACCCAGATTCTCCATCTTCCAGTACCTAGACAGATTAACATCCACCAACAGCTGTGTAACCCCATCAACAGCCAAGATCCAGAGACTATAAAACCAAGCTCCTGGAAGTACATGGCCACATTTGCGGCTACGTGACTTCTTATTGTCTAGTTCTCGCTCTCAGAGAACCTGGTAGGCTACCAAGAGTATCTTGCCTGCATATATGCCTGACTGGGAACACCTGTAAAGGTGATTAGAGGCTGCCCCCAAAGCCTCCATCCCTTTTGGAGAGCCGGGCAAACTACCAAGAGTATCCAGCCTGCATGGCAGAGCCTGGCAAGCTACCTGTGGCGTACTTGATATGCCAAAAACAGTAACAATGATGGTTCTCATTCCCCTGACCCTAAAAGAGCCCCCAGTATGCCATCATGCTACACTAGCACGTGACAGGGACAAATGGAGACGTAAGTTACTGGCGCCCACTCAAGCAAATCAGTGAACAGCGGGGTGATAGTGATAGTGATTTTGGTTTCATATTCCCACCACCATTCAATTCTGCCTTGTAGGGGCAGATGCTAGATCATCTATTTTCCATTGCCCATTTTGTATATCAGGCGGACACGTGGTTCAGAGGAATAGTCCTGATGCCCACATACCAGATCCATGCCTGTGGAAGTTTATGGTCGCTGGGATTCCATCTGGAGAAGGCGGGGAGACTGCACCTGCTTCATCTGGGGCTCCTCAGTGATACCGGCTCGGTTGAGGGCCTGGAAAATTTTCCCGTGTTGTGGTGCCCGCCGGGTTTCTTCACTGCTGAGTGCTAAAAATTGTAATGATTTTCAAGACAAATTGTGCCCAGTATTTTTCTGAGAAAGCTTTGTTAATAACCTGAATAATTAATAATTGCTATATTTTAAGTAGTTGGATATTCTATTGGTGAAAATAAATTCCAAGGGAATTATTTAAAGTAATAACAGAAGATTTGGTTCTTAATATATTAAATAATTTGAAAAATATGTAGCTGAAAGTGATATAGTAAAAATGGAGTTAAAAATAAGAATATAGAATATAGCTCACAAATCTGCATTTCTTTCAGTTCAGTTTTTTTTAAAGGTTTATGTACTGGCTTAAATTAAATGCTGTTTATCTCTTGGCTATTTGGAAAGGCAATCTTTTTAAAATTGACTGAATTTTAAGTTTTAGAGTTGATTCTGGTTCACAGTCACATAGAGAATATGGTACAGAGATTTTTCATCTGCTCTTTGCCTGGCGCATAGATATAATGTCCCACACTGCACAAAAGGGCATCTTTGTTACCACAAATCTATGTGCCTAATGAGGCTTTATTGATATATTATTGTCAGTAATGACAATATTGACAAAAATGCATTGAGATTATGTTGGCACATCATTGTCCAAAATCAAAAAGCTTCTTGGTGTGGTACATTCAACAGGGCGACACAATGACGTTTTCTCATTGCACTTTGACCATAAAATTCCTGTGTGAGTGGCCATAGCGATACTACAGTGGGTAAGGTGCTTGCCTTGTACACAGCCAACCCGGGTTTGATCCTCTGCACCCTGTATAGTCCCTCCAGCCCTCTAGGAGTGATTCCTGAGCACAGATCCAGGAGAAAGCCCTGACCACTACTAGGTATTACATCCCTCCCCACCGTCCAACCAGACAAAAACAAAATCAGAAACAAAAGCAATTCCTGTGTGCTGTCCTGATTTCTCCCTCCTCCTCCCTGGCCTCTGGGAAACACAACCCTGTCATTGCCTCCATAGTGTCTTCTTTTCTAGAATGTCATGTAGATAGAATCGTGTTAGCTCCTCTCTCTTTGTAATAAGCACTGTTTTCTTCATCCTTTTCAGACCTTCATAACTTATTTATGTTTGGAGATAGATTTGTCTGGATATACCACATTTTAGCTGTACACCTAGCTATTATGGGGAAATTTGGTTGCGGTGAAGTTTTGGCAGAGGAATAAAGGTGCTTTTAACATCCACGTGTAGGTTTTTTTTTTTTTTTTGGTATAACACCAAGGTGGGTATTAGCTGCATCTTTTGAAGGGATAATATAAGTAGATAAATATGAGAAGTCTTCACTTGAATGAGTTGTTTAATAATGCTAATCACAGTCACCTGGATTCAGTGTTTCAGAGTTTCTGTTTCTTTTAGACATTTTTATTCAGGAAAGAGGGGAAACGGTATTTTTTAACCTTCATACATCCAATCTCTGAAATTCTCAGTACTCAAAAAAATTGACAACAACAAATACTGTGGTGAGTGGTAAATTCTTTAACCTACTTTCAGTTTCTGAATTCCATTGAAAGTGACTATGAAGAGTTCTTTATGGTCCCCAGGAAACTTCTGCCTTTTTGTTTCCAGCAACCCGAGGAACAAGTATTTTTTTTTTCCAGTAATATTACAACATTTGGTGACGGTTTTGTTGTTTTGGTTTTTGGGCCATACCAGCTGTTGTTCAGAATTATTCTTGACTCTGAGTTCAGGGATCACACCTGGTGGGCTCAGGGAACCATATAAGATGCTGGGGCTGGAATCCAGTTTAGCCATGCGTGAAGTAAGCACCTTTTGGCTTCTCAGTGACACTTAGTAATATTAATATAGCAGTTAAGTTGTGTCTGACAGACGTCATATGGCATGCTGGGAATCGAACCTGGGTCGGCCACATGCAAGGCAAACACCCTACCCGCTGTGCTGTCACTACAGCCCCAGTACCCCCAGTCTTAATGCTATTAAAGTTCTCAAGAATCTTTCCCCTTTGACCTGGTAGTGGTGGTGGTGGTGGTGGTGGTGGTGGTGGTGGTGGTGGTGGTGTGTGTGTGTGTGTGTGTGTGTGTGTTTCACACCTTTTTATCGCTACCATTTTTTTCCTCTGGGGTTTTTCTAACATGGTGCCATATGCCATGTCATTATTTTCTAAGCCTCAACAATTTCCATGACAAAGAAAAAGGAAACTTTTTCTAGGAAAGTTCCATGTTGACACAATTAGAGAACGTTTCTGCCCAATATCAGGTACTCTTTGAAAAGTTAAAATATCACATATCAACTATAGAAATGTCAGATTTAATAAGAGAGTCTTGGAGTGAGCCTACAACTCTGGACTGGGCTCCTAGTGGTCTGCCTGAGGGAGCATCCAGTCCCTGAGTTTCCTGTGGGAGGGGCTGCCCTCTGTGGATGGGATTGAATATGCTCATTTTATTACAGCTAGATAGTAGTAGATTGGATCCTTGGGGGATGAATGTCAGACCAACCCAATGGGACTCAGCCTTTTCAGGGGATGGGCGAGCATCTTCTTCCTGGATGTTCACAGGCACATGCAAAAGTTTTCCTCAAAGACCTTAACCTGGCAGAATAATAGCTAACAGGGGCTGAAACAATAGTATAGTGGGTAGGACATTTGCCTTGCACATGGCCTACCTGGTTTCTATTCCCAGCATCACATATTGTCTTCTGACGACCACTGGAAGTAATCCCTGAGCATCGCTGGGGATTGCCTACCCAAAAAGCCAGAAAGAAAAAAAGAAAAGCTAGCTTGTTCAACATTTGAGGCAATGGTACATATGGTCTCCCGGATCAGCACCCCCAGTCTCTTTTTTTTTCTTTTTGGGTCATACCCGGCGATGCACAGGGGTTACTCCTGGCACACACACTCAGGAATTACTCCTGGCAGTACTCGGGGGACCATATGGGATTCTGGGAATCGAATCTGGGTTGGCCGAGTGCAAGGCAAACATCCTAACCGCTGTGCTATCATTCTAGCCTTCGCACCCCCAGTCTTAATGCTAGCAAAGTTCTCAAGAATCTTTCCTCTTTGACCTGGTGGTGATGGTGGTGGTGGTGTGTGTGTGGTTATCACACCCTTTTAAAAAAGAAAAAAAACCCTTCTCAGTCCATTTATCTTCTCTTTGTTCGTGATGTTTTGTTTTAAGTAACTACTGTCTGTGTCATCGAATATTGTCAAATGTTTATAGTAACTATACATGGCCTTTGACAGTCTCATCATTTCCTATTTATTTTTTGATCTGCTTACAGTTATTTTTAATATAAGATCATAATAACATTTATGTTCCCATCCTTGTCATGCAGCTCACAATTTTTCTTATCATGCAGCTCAAAATTGTTCTGGCTTGAGAACCTGTGGACAGTGTTTGGAGCAGCCTGGATGTGGCTGGTGCAATGATCCGAGTAATACAGGAAGAGGGCACTGTGTGGAAGGGTCTTCACGGGGGCCCATGAAGCTTGTTGGAATGCACAACAGCGAGATGGTTCTTGACACCAGTCTTTGTCCTAAGGAGAAGAACTATGAGTGGTCCTTTATCCAGTGTCCAGGTAATACAAATGTGATGAAACACTTTTATTATCTGCTTGAATAAACTGAGAAAAAGTTTTCCTTTCTTATAACAGTGATTAAGAAAACAAATTCCAATAACAATGAGAACTCCCACTTCATGGTTAAAAAATTTTGGTTGGGTAGGGAACTTGGTTTGACATAGCCTACCCGGGTTTGATCCCCAGCACTTCATATGGTCCGTTGAACACCACCGGGAATAATCACTGAACACAAATCTTGAGTACAACCAGGTGTGGACCCCTCCCATACAAAAAAAAAACAAACCAATCAACCAAACAACTAAACAAAATTCTTTTTATACCCATCTCTGCTGTGTAGATGGCATTCTGTTTGGGATCATTAAATAGAGTAACCAGATGAATGACATATAATTATTGCCTGTGGGCTCTTGTGAACTGCTGAGGGAACAAAATATTGCCTTTGTACAAATTTTCTACTGTATAGTACAGTCTTTTGTGTGTAGTATTATTATATTTTAAAATTCAAAGAGAAATACTTGGAGTTCTTTAAACTTCATGCAAGTATAGGACTGTACTCTGTATTATCTATTATGGCTTAACTAGCCTTATCTTGAAAACCATCATTGTTGTTCAATATCATTTAATTATGAAGGTCTTTAAGCTTTTTAGAGTCTTTAAATAAAAAAACAGAAAGACTATTCTTATACTGAATAAAATTAACCTTAAAAATATCAGGTTAGCCAATATGATACGATTAAGTCTCTATTATGTACCCCTGGGTATTTTAGGTGATAGAGCTATAAAAATTTAAAAATCAGACTGAAGTAGTATACATTCATAGAGTAATTTTAAATGGAAATTAATAAAAGTAACTACACACTCAAAAAGTTAGATGATAAGTACTGTGAAATATAGGAAGGGAGGTAAGGCTTATCATAGGGTGGAAAAAAAAGAAAGACCTCAGTGAGAAGTAGCAGTAAACACCTAAAAGAGATGGCCCTCCCGTTGATCGTCGATTTGCTCGAGCGGGCCCAGTAACGTCTCCATTGGAGACTTTGTTGTTACTGTGTCTGGCATATCGAATACTCTCGGTAGCTTGCCGGGCTCTCCAAGAGGGGCGGAGGAATCGAACTCGGGTCGGCCATGTTGGCCACTTGTAAGGCAAACGCCCTACCCGCTGTGCTATGAGGGAGTGAATAATAGCCCTGGGTATCTGGAAGGGAAGAGGTGACAATGAAGAATTTCAAACAGAATGGAGAAAACCAAACAATGTTTATATCATTAGTTAAGTGTCACCTTGGGAATTAGGGATTAGTGAAGAATCATTTAGAACTGGATGATTCTGATTTAACTTCCTGAGGGATTGGGAAGAGGGGACCTTTATGCGCTAATGAGCTAATGATTTCCATGAGTAATGCCTTGGGATTGGGAGCAATTACTGTACCTTCAGGAAGAGCCAGTGTGTCTGAGAAATTGCTTGCCCTTACTCCAGTGAGAGTTCTGAGCACAGGGGGAGAGAAAGGGATCGGAGAATTTGCTGTAGGTGAGAGTGACAGTGTGTTGCTCTGAAACCAGGTGGGTGTGGGTCTGGGGTCCTGGAGTCCTTGATACCTGCAACAGCTTTCAAGTACAAGGTCCCCCCCTTTCTGAGTCACACACAGTGTGGGATTACAATAATAGAAATGAGCCTAACTCTTTTTGGAAAATATTTTGGCCTCATACTTCAAAGTATATTGTTGATGTTTTTTTTCATAAATTTATCAACTCAAGGAAGTTCCCTTTTATTCCTATTTGTTGTGTTTAAATTTTGGGAGGTGTTTTGCATTTACATTAATGAGATATATTGGGATGTAGTTTTCTTTTCTTGAGGTCTGGCTTGGTACCAGTGTTATATTAACTTCAAAATTGAGAGCTATTTTGATTTCTTGTTCTCTCTGGGAAAGTTTGTGAAAAATTGGCATTATTTCTTCCTCAAATATTTGATCAATATTACCTTTAGAGGTACATGAATCTGAAATTGTCTTTGGGAGGGGGATTTTTACTCTAAATTCAGTTTATTTTTATAGATAACGAGGGTATTTGGGCTCAGAAGATTTCTTGTGTGTTTGATAATTTGTCTTTTTAAAGTTTAAGATGTGTTTGATAAAAGGCATCCATAATATTAATTTTATTCTTTTAATCTGTAGGGCTTTAGTATAACATTTTTAATTCTGAGTATTAATAATTGTTTCTTGATTAATTTGGTTACAGGGTTGTCAGATTTCAGTGACTCTTACATATTTTTGTCATATTTAGTTTTCTGTATTTTTTGTTCTTTAGTTACTTAGATGCAAAATTAGATAACTGAACTAAAATTTTATTTCTAAGTCTGGTATTATCATTTTCTTCTAAGTACTGCTTTTGATTAGTTTTTTTTTTTGCTATTGATTTTCATGATTTTACTGTAAACTGTATTATGTTTAAAGTTTCTTATAGGCAACACAGTGTTAGGTCTCTGTTGAATCTAACTAATAGTGTCTGCTCTCAAATTTTAATTGAATGTATGTTAGTATGCTTTGGTCTAAATTACCATATGGCTATCTGTTTTCTCCATCTGTTCTTTGTTCCAATTACCTCTTTTCCTGCTTGATTTTAAGTTTATTGACTTAAAATTTTTTGTGCTACATTTTATTTATGGACTTACTGGTCTTCTTTTTGGGGTGCCTGCCCTGGGTTTACATTCATTTCTAACTTGCCATAATTTATATAAGTGATAGTATATTTCCATATCCGTATAGATCTACAGTGGAATTTTGCTAGCTTTGCTTTAAATTACCTTTGAAATATATTTAAAGAATGAAAAAAGGAACTTTCATCAACAGGCGAAGTGGAGTGAGTGGGGTGGCTGAGCAGCTGCTCTGGGTTGCTTGAGATGAGTTTTCCACACTGTGGAACTGTCAGTGCTGAAAGCAGGAGAGTCCCGGGCACACTCGGGTATTTGGTTGCTGAATCCAAGTGACTATCCAAGTGGCTCAGTTTAATTTCCTCTACCTGAAACTATTAAGAAATGGGACAGAAGAGAAAAAGAAGAGGTTTTTGTTTGTTTATTTTTTGAACCACGGGGCTTACCCTTGGCTGTGTGTTCAGGGATCACTCCTGGTGGGAACCATATGGGGTGGCGGGGATCAAATCCATTTGGCCACTAGCAAGGCAAGTGCCCGCTGTTGTATCTCTCTGGTCTGAGAAGAAGCACAGTTCTTCATATATTGACTGTCAGGCAATACGGCCAGTGACTCATTGGATTCATGGAACAAACAAGGCGGGTCCACCACTGCCTCCAGTTCATGACCAGAACATGTGTTTGTGTGAGGTAGTGCATTTGGTGGGCATGAAAGATGTTGCAGAGTCTCCTGCCACTCTGGAACTGAAGGTCTGGGGAGATCGCGGCATCTAAACTTCCCGGGAAGTTGCTACGGAAGAGAGTCCTGTGGACACAGAGAATTCTGGAGAATTTATAGAGGGAAGGAACACTTGGAGTGTTTGGTTAGTACAAAATCAGTTCATCTGGGGCCAGAGAGATAGTTCAGGGGTAAGATGCTTGCCTTGTGAGCAGTGATTATATCCCTGATACTACATACTGTCCTCTGGAGCGATAGCACAGCGGGTAGGGCGTTCGCCTTACAAGCGGCCAACATGGCCGACCCGAGTTCGATTCCTCCGCCCCTCTCGGAGAGCCCGGCAAGCTACCGAGAGTATTCGATATGCCAGACACAGTAACAACAAAGTCTCCAGTGGAGACGTTACTGGGCCCGCTCGAGCAAATCGACGATCAACGGGAGGGCCTTTACCTTTACCTTTACCTTTACATACTGTCCTCTGAGTACTGTGTCAGACCCAGGATTAGGCCCTGAGCACACAACCTCAAATTTATCATTATACAGAACTACCTGGGTCAACACAACAAATCCCTTGGAATCTCCAGTCAGCTGGAGCGGGGAAGGTTTTAGTCTCTGACAGCAAATAGAAGACTCTGAAGGATTTTGTCTCACTCATGTGGCAAAATTAGTACTAGACTAAGTGTTGTAATGACCCTCCAGGATCAAACTGTTTTCAATTAGCTTAGCCAAACTCCAGAACACAGCTAAAAAGGTATTTATAGGAATACAAAAATACCCAGAATATTGTATTTTGAATTCAGTGTCAGGCATCCAGGAAAAATTAGCACGTATACAAAAGCAGCAGGATGATATGGCCCAAAATAGCAAAGAAAAGTCAATCAATTGAAACCATCCTCGAAATTAAATATATAAGTAGACAAGGATTTATTGCAATAATTATAAATGTAGTCCATTTATTTAAAAAAATTAAATGAACTGGTGAGCATGTTAAGTAGAATTATAGAAAAAAATACTACAAAAGCCCAAATAGAACTTATAGAGATAAATACTATCCTAAAATAGTGAATGGAATGAATTTAATACGAGATTAGACATTATGAAAATCAAGATTGCTACACTTAAAACAAGCAATAGCTCAAACCCAAGGGAAACACAGGAAGTAAAACTGAAACAGAATGAAGAGAGCGTCAGTAAACTGTGGGCACATTCAAGTGTATTTGTAATTGGATGTGAAGGAAGTAGGGAGAAAAGAACTTAGCAAAATTGGAAGAAATAATGGCCAATATTTTCACAAATTGATGAAAAAACACCTGTAAAAGCATAAAGCAAAATCATTGATGAAAAATGAAGAAACAGACACCCACACTCTTGCTAGTCATATTGCTTGTATCAGTGAAACAGTTATCAAAGCAGAGAAAAGATTCCTTTGGTGTGGAGAAATCAGAAAATAATGCAGTGATACCACAGTGAATTGACATCTTTAAAACAAAAAGTTGGAGACGTAGTAGAGAATGCAGGACATGCTTGCGTGTGGGTGGGCCGGGTTTCCTCCCCCACACCCCAGATTGTCTCCCAAGCCCCACCAGGAGTGATCCCTGAGCACAGAGCTAGGAATAAGCCCCCAGCATTGCTGGGTGTGGC